AAAGGTCATTATCAGAAAATGGCCAGCAAAGATACAACAATGATCAATACCCGATGCAGGACAACGCCCCCTTTGCAAGCATCTGATGGGCATCATGCCTGGCTAACCATCTAGGAAAAATCTAAGACGGACATACTAGCTTCCCGGTGGACAAGTACGTTTTCGTTCTTTCTATGCTGCTCCGGATTCACTTCGATTGTGATCCCAAACCAGGCCAAAACAACTGCGTTCTTCAGTCCGCACTTCATGAGTTCTGTAACGGAGGGACTCCTTTATACAATCGAAACCCCCCCTCCCCATACTTGTTAGTAACAACCATAATAGACATGAACATTCTTTTGGAGTTAGTACCAATGCGTCTAATCCTTCAGATCGTAAAGGAACAATTTTCCGACAGTATTTAATGTAAATGATATGATTTAAATATTACCTGACTACATGTGTAAACAGTCTGCTTTCATCCACCCAACTAATGGCTACGTAGAGCGATACTGTGGAAATTCGAGTTTTGCTTAAAGGTAGAGGTTTCTACACAGCCGGTTTATCATATATATATATATATATACATAATATTACGCAGGTAAAAACTGAAAACTACCGGACTATTTTGAAATACGGATTTGGAAACAATTTAGTTGTGTTAGACACAACTAAAATCTTTTATCATGTGGAATCAACTTGTGCTTAGCGCTGATAATCCTTGAAAGTAAGATGTGGCTTTAAATCCTGCTGGAAAACATCTGGAACACTTCTGCATCAAACGATTCTGATTCGAATCAAAGCACGAACGGTTGTTACTCTGATGAGCTAACTAATGAGGTTGTCCGAAGTTGATTGTGGTCATCAAAATCAAATGAAACGCATATTCTCTATTGATATCATTGAAGACAGCAAACCTTATCAAAGAGAGAGATTGATTAACTGGTGTACACGGTGTACACTGGTCAGGTTAGACTTCCAGTGGATTACATATGCATGCACTGAGAGTGATTCCTCATAAAAAAGAAACAGCTTTTGCAGTGCTTTTATGTTTTTTTCGTTATTAAGAATCACATGTTAACGCAGAATAACGAAAAGGCGTTTAAATCAAACCGCTCCATAAAATCCAAAACTGGAATGAGGAGATCCCAAACCAAAGGTCGGGGTTTTATAAACACGTTTACAAAACAAAATGCGATATTGAGCGATGATCGTTACACTGAACACAACTACAAAGTTTTATTAGAAAATGGTTGTCATCCATTCATCCATTCATTGCTGGTGTATGATTAACTATTGATATTGTAAATGAAATAATAGCACAAACAATGTTTAACTGAAAATTCATGCGGTTTCACCTGATATATGTCCAAAGATTTCCCCATTAACTGGCATCAATGAAAGGAAATATCTGTTGGAACTAAGCATTCAAAAACCCAAATAGTTCAGTTTCATCACCTACGTTTGTGTTCCATGACTTCATAATAAGTACTGCATTATATCAGGGAATTTTCACCAGACAGAACAATATCAATGGGAAGATGAAAATTTATCTACTGCTGTTTTCTGGTCTAACCTCAATATCTTTTTAAAGTATATAAAGCATTACAGAAGTATATGATCAGTTGAAAAATAAAGTACACTAATCAAACTTTGCGTGCTGTTGAGAAATTTCACTCCAACCCCACGGACTTTTGCAATACGCAGATACAGACTGCGTACTGCTTTGGTATACGTATGATTTGTTTGCACTCCAAATGTTTGGTGTTTTACACTGTCCTGTATCATTGTAAACTGTCTCCAAATTGTAGGAATCGTCAAACGAGTTCCTTGCACGCTATTCACTCATTACGAATCGCAGTGCCCCACCGAGTTGCTTAGATGGAAGTATCATCACACTCGTCATTAGAAATACGGCTGAAAATATTTGAAAAGTCGACCACGTAGACCGGCGAATGTTCACGATGGAATCTACTTAGAACTATTGACTAAAACACTAGTTTACGGTAGATAAACAATCAATTACTAGTGTACCTACATTTTCTCCTGAAGTTCAGTCACTGTCGCATTCGGTTTTGTTTTATTTGTGACGAAGCATCCCCTGAATACAACGATAAATAAAGTTTATAGTTCGGAGTGTTGCAAGTGACTTCCGAATATATGCGTTTGTTTATGCTCATTACGCAATCAGAGGTGTATTTTCTAGCGGCTAAATGAATCCCCGCACAATGTTCATTGCCTAAATCATGGTCATTTATACAAATAGAGCTTACACGGAAAACACTCTACAAAAACCGTCGATGGACTGTTTTCGGGAGTCAGGCAACTGTGACAAAGATTCCTGACGGCTTCCGGCGAACGGTGAACAATACATTGATGCGATATTACAGGGGAAAAACAAATGAGAACAGCACAATTAAGTAGCGAGTATGCATTTTTTGTTTAGTTTTTTTAATGAGTTACTGTCACCACCGCCCGGGTAGCGATGTGATCAGGTCCTTATCTGATCACTGGCAAAGCTACAGTTTGCCATTTACATGTTCTGATAGTCGCATCAAGTGCTGTTTATTGATTGGGAATAATGACAGATAAATAATGAAGGAAATTTTACAGTTTGCATAGATCTACTTTTTCACGGCTTCCTCTGCTCAAGTGAAAAAAGCATCACGGTGTCACAGGAGATGAATGATTATATTGGAACTACATTTTGTCAGTTTTTACCTCTCGAAAATATTGTTATTTCCAGAAGAGTATTCGTGAGTATATTCAGAGAAATTTGCTGGGGCAGTTCACGGACAAGGCAGTTTAGAGATTGGTTACTATTAAACGGAACACGTAGCAGTGTTCACCATAATTTCAAAGAGGTTTTTCAAAGTTATACTTTGTGTGAGAATCAGAACCTCCTCCGAGATCTGGAATAGCAAAACACGATTTTACTCATTCCAGAACGAAACAAGAATTGTGAGCATATAAATAAGGAAAAAATGTGAGTTCCTCTGGCATAGTTATTTGGTGTGAAAACGTAAGATCTAAAAAACGAATTGAGAAGTTTACCAAATCATGAGTTACCCTCAGTACGTTATTTACTTTAACTAAGCAAATATTTTCACCAAAATAGCCGACTAAGATCTGTGCCATGATGGAAGTATTTCACTCTTCTATGCCTAATAACCTGCTAGACAACTTTTTGAAAGATACTACTGAAATAAACAATCACCGTGTTTGATCGCAAATTAGAAGATTGTTCATCCCTACGTAATGACGCCCAATAATGGGCCATTTCTTAAACTTGACCAATCTGTCGTATCTGTGTCACATGTAACCCAAGACAAAGGAAGTGTAAAATGGTAGCACTTTAATGTAAATCGATATATCGGTTCATAGCAAATACTATATTCGCCACTGAACGAACTGAGTTGATTCCCGAGTGGAAACGAGTAGTATAATTTCCTCCGTGATTGGTGTTCCCCTTCGCCTCAAGTATGTGACTCGTTAGTCTATCATATGCTGCAGTTTGCATCACCATTATCACGTTATTAGCCATGCAATGGTACTAACTAGAAAATATTAATATATTGAACGTTTAACTAAAAGTGTTGATGTGATCCTGATAAGAATTACAGATATTGAAGAATGAGTGCGCAAACGTGCCAACTTCAAAAGTAGATTAGTAATTAAGCACCGATTTCTAATTTTATGACACTATCTAATCATCAAAACATTCGATATTATAGGTAATAACCTACAGACTAAGGATAGAGGCTGAATAAAATCTGTTATTCATATTGATAATAAAATATTCGGTTCTTTCTCATCAGGAATTCCACGTAACACTGAAGGCTACACTTCATACACAGTGTATATTAGGACAAAACCAGTGCAAGTAATTTACGGAATGCACGGCAAGGTTAATAAAACTGTCGAGTGAATTATTTTACCATCTTTCGAGTTGCTCACAGATGATGTTATACCGACGATAGTCATGATGAGAAAACGTTTTCCGGATTAGCATGACAGCTGATCATTATTTTTAGTTTATTTCGCAGTTGTACGTACAACCTCCCGGCATTTTTCACAAAAGTGGTACTAAAATGATGATAAATTAAAGTCTGTTTGCATTTTGTGCGGACAATGTTCCATGAACTTTCAGAATTTGAGAATGGCTTCGTCCCATGGCTGCTAATGGGGAGCAGAGCAACAGTTGCGGAAGTCGATAATGCGAGCTGTGAGAAAAGTGGCCGATGATCTGCACAGGTCGACCATAGCGGCTCAGGGAATGCTACACTGAGAATAAAAACAGCGTATTGGTGAGCTTAACTACAACCATAAAATGTGAAATAATTATCATTTTAGTTTATCAATAAGTTCACACTTTCAATCACATGACCTTTTTCGATTTTTATCGAAATCTATTTAAACAGTTTATCTATAAAACACAAAAGTTTCAATCAGGTTCTTTAATAATATAAAACTGGACCAAGAAATAAGGGCATGCGAAAGTACACAAAATGTTTAATGGGATAATGAATTGCACTTCTTCTGTTCAACGGATGTATATTTTCACCATTGTCCGGTGCAAATGTAGAAGTACATTTTCAGAAGCTCCTTACTCCTTAAGGAAAATTTGAGCAACTTTCACCAAAAAGGGCATGCACTATTGAAACTAAAACAATTTATTATTTGAACGATTTTGCCTCTGAACTATCCAAATATCATCCATCTGATTCTGAATATCCCTCCTCTGTTCTCTGATTGGTTAAAATAGCCAAGCGACTGGTCATTTTCTCATCCAACCAATTGACCAATCAGAATTAATCTAATCAAAATCACCCTATGCGAAACATGATACACTGTCACCCGATGACAGTAAAGCTGAATATGCGTCATAGAGCTTATTTAATTTCTGTTTGATCGGACGTGAACAGCTCTGTTCCAGTAAGAAATAGGCGCTATGTGTTCGTTCATGCTAAACCATTTGGATAGTCTCACACAGCAATTTGCATCATAACGACAACAAAATCATGGCATTTAGTGTGCTGCTACTTTTCATCTCTGTGTGTGTTTCAACCGGAGAATCATCTCCGACTAATCCACATCGTGTTCAATTTCATCTGCCCGACAATACACCGGCTAATCACTTGGTGGGAAATATCCTCGGTGGAGTATCCCTTGCTCAACCTCTTGTTCGCGCCATGCTTAACCCGGATACCTGGTTTCGTGTGACCAATACCGGTGATCTATTCACACGTGATAGCCTCGATCGGGATACTATTTGCAGCCGATTAGCCTGTTGCCTGGCGGATTTTTGCCAAATTCAACTGGAGGCCTATTTGTTCGACTCACGACCTACCCCCACCACCGTCCGTGTAACCTTGTTTGTGGCTGACGAGAACGATAACCCACCGACATTTCCTCAACTGTCTCAAAAAGACAAAGAAGCCAAATGGTGGCAAGTGTCTATTCCTGAATCTGCAGCAGTTGGGACAAAGCACACTTTACCAGCGGCCACGGATGCGGACTCATCTCGCTTCGGTGTGCATCATTATAAATTGTTCAGTGCGGCTAATTCAAGATCACCGATGCGACCGGATGATCGTTTACCATTCAGTCTTGTCACACCTCCAACCACCTATCCCATGCCCGTTGTAGCTCCGGCTCCACAGTTGCAAATCGATCGACCACTAGACAGGGAAACCAAGCCTAGCTATGATATGTATCTAGTTGTCGAAGATGCTGGATCTCCACCCTTGACAACCACACTTTCTGTTCGCGTGAACCTACTGGATACGAATGATAATGCACCCAGTTTTGTCAATCAAACCGATTTGGCCATTAGCATTCCCGAGAGCACATCGATTGGAAGTGTGGTTCATCAGTTTTTTGTCAAAGACCCAGACGAAGGACCCAATGGAAATGTAACCTTAAGTATTGACTGGCCAGCGAGTTACCCGGGAGTGAACCAGACCGTGTTAAATCGACTGAGCTCGAAATATATGATTCATCCATACACTGGAGAACTTCGTGTGGTACAACCTTTGGACTATGAAGATGAACTGGAACGAAAAGTTGTTCTCGTAGTTCGAGCAGCCGATAGCGGTTCACCTCAACAGACTGCCAGTTCAAGTTTGACTATTACGCTGACAGATGTAAATGATAACGGTCCGGTAATTGAAATACTCGGTGTTGATGTACGAAACGATCCCATTTCGGATGGCGGTACGGGTGTATCAACGTTCAAAGAGAATGACCCCGAGCCCCAACTGCTGCGGTTGATTTCAGTTAGTGATCCGGACACTGTATCGATTGGGAAATTATCATGCAAATTGTCTGATCAACATCAGGGTGAGAATGATTTTGTTCTCACATCTTACTCGGATACCATGTACGGGTTGTTGAATGCACGAGCATTTGATTATGAACGTGAAGCCAGTCGAACGGGTCATCTTTCTGTCAGTGTCGAGTGCACAGATTCAGCCGAACCAAAACGAACCAGACAACAATGGATACAAATTCCGCTGGTTGATGTGAATGACAACTGGCCACAATTTAGTCAGGCTAATTACGAATTCCGTATTGCTGAGAATACTGAACCAGGGACCGAGATAGGTGTGGTACAGGCCACGGACGCAGATTCCGGATTTCACGGTCAGGTGACATATCGTCTAACTGCTGACAACGCAGCTTGGTTGAATCTAGTTCGAATTGATCCGAAAACCGGTACCGTGTACGTGAACGCGATGCTTGATCGTGAGACAGTGGATCATCTGGAATTTCACGTGACTGCATCGGATGGCAATCCGAACGCTGCGGATTCGGAGAAAGCTATGCAAAAGACAAACACGACAGGACTGACAATTTTAGTTACTGATGTAAATGACAATGCCCCGACATGTGTTGGTTCAAAAGAGATTCATGTAAGTGAGAACACCGCAATCGGAACTCGGGTGTTGAAAAAAATTGCCGTTTCAGATCCAGACCTGGGACCGAATGGTTCCGTGTTGGTTAGTCTGATTGAATTGCCATACATGTACTCCATCAATTTGATTAATCATGGACTACATTCAGCGTCCACTGTGCCGGAAAAACGACAATATTTACCATTTGTGATTAAAGATGATTTATCCCTGGTCACTTCGGGTGCTCTTGATCGGGAACAACAAACACAAGTCATTCTTACGCTTCTTGTTAAAGATCAAGGTCAACCAATCCCTCTGTCCGCCACATGCAGTTTGACTGTCGTAATTGATGACGTCAATGATAATCCACCTCAACTAATCTATCCTCGAAATAACAGTTTCTTGTTTGGTCAGCGCGAGCATTCCGAACCACACACTCCGTATGCACGTGCCACAATCCCGGCCAATATCCCATACGGATCGAGGATAATCACAATTCGAGGCAAAGATCCGGATGCCGGTTCAAACGGGACAGTCACATATCATCTACTAGCCCAAACCGATCCGATTCGCAGAGACATAATGATGGATTTTACCGAACTTGGTTCAAACGACCCATTTCTTGAGGAAGGTGTGCTCGTCTACAGAGACGGAATGCATCTATTTGAGTTGGACTCACAAACCGGCTTCATGACAACCGCCTGGGGCCAGTCACAGGACAATTCGGCATCAGAACCCGTGGAAGAGATTGCACCGTCAAATGGCAGTTCGGAAATTGTAAAAAGACGCCGACGAGTTGAGCAACCAGAACCAGGACTGTACGCGATTTTGGTGGAGTTAAGGGACATGGGTCCTACCCCAATGACAACCAAAGCCATCTTCTATGTAAACATAAGCGAACCGGTTGGAATGGGGTTCGCTTTTGGTCTGTTTAGTGAAACCAACCTGAGTAATACGGTTATTTTGGTTTTGATTATGGTATGTAGTTTGGCACTGATAATCAGCCTGACTGCAGCAATATTTTGGGTACGCTTTCGTAATGATAGTTCTATCATCAGTAGACCAGGAAGTCGAAACTACGGAGGAAGTTATAATGGTCCGACGGTGATTACTCACGACAGTATGCCGAATGGATACTTCTATCCTGCCAGTTACCCTCCTCTGGGAAGTCCTACAGATTTATCGGAAATGGATCATCGATTCATAGATTCCACACTCATGCACGGGAAGGATGGTACACTTCAAACCAATTGGACCGAGCTCAACCTGGATACAGGTCAGTCTCCGGATTATCAGGCTGGTATGTACGGTGGTTCATTGGTCCCATCTAGTTTGGATGGGACGGCTACCACATTCCAGTTGTGCTCCATGAGTAAACCGGAAGAGGCAGCGGCCACTGTCTATCCCAGTGGAATTCATCTGGTCCCAGTCAGTGGTTGCGGTGGTGGTGCTGGGGCTGGGTCCGGGATTGGAAGTGATCGTACAGAACTAACTGTGTATCAGACTACTAGAACCCTTAGTGGAACTCCGAATTGGTTACCCTGTACAGATTCTTACGTGACCGATCCAACAATGATAATACGCATGGATGGTGGATATGGACCTGTGGAATGTATGGGTCTTGGTCAGGCTACTAACAATAGTACTGGTGGCAGTGATAGCGGTGTGGACAGTGGTGCTGGTGTTGCTTTGGGTACAATCACATCCTCCTCTCCGGTCATGGATGGTCGTGGTCGAACCAATCACATATCCAATCCGATTGGCAAATCCGGTTTTGTGGATCATTTACATTCATCAACTGTGCCAAGAACATTTTTCACTCGTAATTCACCCACATCTCTGTCACCCACGGATGGGATTGACGCGTCCACGCATACTGGTGATGCGGTAGCACATGGACCGCGAGAACCATACTTTCGTGTCGGTTCCAACACACCGCACACAATGCAAATGGTTCACCATCCAAACTCTACACTTGGTCATACTCTGAGAAGAGAGAACGATACGGATTTACAAACCGTTTCGGTTGGGACGACAAAACGACTAAAAAATAGTTCACACTCAGGTATTCTTGTTTCGACAACCCTCTATTCAAATGGACTGAAATGAGGAGAGGACGAACTCGATTTACTTCCGGCCATCTTTTCCTCCTTCGAGTCCACGTCCAGCAGTCATCGTCCCATCCCCAAAACATAGGTGAGTCACAAGTAATGCATATACGTCTTGTTAATGTGTCCCAATACTTTCCGCCCGGTTTGAAGTGTCTCACTTCTTATCCCGTTTGACTGCATACAATCAAGGTGGTAGAGTATTAGGGAAGGATTAAAACGGGGTGGACAAAAAGAAGTCATCCAACAGAATAGACCCGGAGGACCGGTATTTTGCAACTCAAAAGTTGAGCTTTGGGACAGTGAAAGAGATTTCCGACCTTTCGATACCATTCACTCGAATTACCCCCTTGTTTTCTTGAGCTAGGAATGACCGATTCGTACAGGCTCACAAATGAGTTGACAACTTCGAATAAATTGAAACTCAGACGGTTCACCATGCCAGATTCTCATCAGTTTCCTCAGTGGTATCTTTAACATTGTGTGTGTGAAAACTAACTATCCTATCCCCTATCGGCAACAAGTAACTGTGACGTGCCATCACAGCCTGTCGTTGTGGGAAAGTACTCCCAGCGAATGAACGGTATTAGAGATTTTTACGTTCATCGAATGCGTCTAAATTGAGAAAACGTCGGATAAACAGGTCAGGGGTGTGAGGTTCGTGGTGATGTTTAGATGACAGAAAAATCTGCCAAAATGTCAGCCACGATTAAAACTGACGAAAATTCTGCCGTTATAGTATTCCCGGAAGCAAGGATCTCAGTTATTGCTCTCACACTATCGAGTCAATGTTTTCGCTGTAAACCATTTTCCTTATGTTTAACAGAAGATATGAGAGTGTGACGGCATTCATACAATAAGGAGTGCTATTCGAGTTTGTTTTATTCCTGCCAGGTTACCCTAGAACCCGAAATCGCATTTTTACTACAAAATATTCTTAACTAAAATAATTTTTATTCTTTTTATCATTAGATTGTTTTGCTACTGAGAAACTTTTGAAACCGCCAGGAATATCACTCGTATGGAGTTTTCTGAACACCCGGTGAACGTGACGCAACCTATTATTTTGCTGGCAGTTAATCTCGTTTTTCTCATAAAATTTAAGGTATGAACGGTACGAAAATACGTACAAAGGTGGGGGTGTGGATAAAAGTGAATTAATTAGATCACCAATCAGTTAACCATTCACATTCCCTAATTAAATGACATAAAGACATCCTATGCATTCTGTCTTGCCAAACTGTGCTGGGCACAAATTACACACTTAAGCCAAACAGCGCGGTCTTGTCGCTCTTGTGAATAGTCGTAGCATCCAGTTATGATTCCTAGTCGGGCATTGTGCCAGGTGTGGCGTATTGTTTACATTTCTTGCGATGAACCCGCAAACGGTCATGTAAGCAGCTGTTGCAGTTCAGCAGACACACTGAATTATTGTGTTAGTTGAGGTTGAAAGCTAACGGTCCTGATTCCGGCCAACCTCCTTTTGAGCAGGATATACGATGATTCATCTCAATTGGACTGTGACACCCATTTACGTATGAAAGTTTACACGGTTGGTGAATTAAGTGGAGTACTACGATTCCGGCTTATGAAACAGGAAGTCATACAAACAGTCATGATCATTTCGAGGTGGTTGGTTCCGGTTGAGGTCGAGGAAAACAAACTCAGAGCACGAATCATTTGTGACAGCACGGAGGTAGGTTAACCGGGCGAATTGGTATCACTTCGGTTTTGTGTGTAATGCGTAGATGACCTCGATTGTCTGACATTCTGTGTTTGCAAGATGCCCAAGACGTTTAGCTGAGATGTTTTTTCGAGGCCAATGATCATTTTTTTCATTCGTGCTCTGTAGCGATCTTAAACGCATGCATATTTGGAGGATTTACCTTGGAAAAAATTAATCGTCCAGTGCGATGGATGCTAAAATTTATTTCATATGTGTACACTGCACTGCAAACCTCGGTTTCGTTCTATCCGTGATTGTTTAGGTTTGCTTTGTGTGAAAACCGTATTTCGTAATTAAATGGAACCCTGATGTAAATCTATACATTGTTCAATTACGGGAATGGATGAGTTACTTTGACCAAAAAATAAAACTTGGTGCACCTACAGATATCTGTAATTTACTTTGCATCAGTAACCTCAAATCGGTAATGGTCTCCATCTGTCAAAACAATAAGTCCTTTTTGAACAAAAGCTTCAGGTTTCAGAGCTTTTCGTTCTGCATGGACCGTATCATCTGTTGAAGGTGGGTAGGAATTGCTTGCATCTCGACTCTTCTTGAATGATCGTTGAGAAAATTCCTGCTGAAATGTCGCATGAATTATTAGGTTGCATCAGAGTCACGTGAAGGAATCGTAAACAAATCATTTATACAGTTGCCGACAACAATGGCTGTCACGTCAGTCGTGATTGGGGACCAACAGTCCACGATCTGTCACAAATACACAAACACACGACAAATTCTGTCTTAATTTACTGCAGTATACTGCATCACAATAAATTCTACCTTTCGGCAGCAGAGAATCTAGTTGCCACATAACAAATATAGTCGCCGGCCTCCACACCGTACCATACTGAAAATTAAATGAAAATTTATGTTGCATTTCTTCTGTCGATAGTAATACAAACAATAGCAAACACTGGTATAATCATTAGTTATGGATTTTTAGACCCTCATTCCATTATTATATATACTGTTATGTAATATACCAGTAACAGTAGTAGTAGGGTTGATACGCAATTAAATCGTTATTTACACGAGGGGTGAAGATAACGTTACATCATCAAAACCTAAGCTGCAAAGGTTACGTACGCTTTTCCAATAAAGTAGCTGCTACAGCTACGCTTCTTTCTATCGTTTTGTTTCGTTTCGTTCATTTATAGAATACTCATAACAAATTTGTATTGGAAAACGCCAATAATAAGAAGATAGATTTTTAAAGTCAAGTCAAGAAACGTTTTACGCCCCCGAAAGGTAAATTTCCAGCCATTTACAATCTGGCGTCATGAAAACACAACAATTGCGAATAAAACAAAAATACGTTGGACATTACAGTAAAGGAAAAACGTTATAACGAAGGAGTCTTTCCCCGACCAGGATGGCCATTGTCTTACGAATAACCGTGAGCGAGACAAGGACGGACTAACTATTTGTGTGTAGGTAATTACACGCAGGAGACAGCTGATATTCGGAGGGAATGTGATGAACTTTGGAAATCTACAATATACGCTGCTGTTGAATAAAACAGGCTATCGGGTAATGATATTGATCTTTTCCGTTCTTTCTTGGACGCCATACAAATCAGGCTTTAGTACTAGTGTGGTTTAGTGATAGACTCTATAAAAGTATGCACAAACTGTATGGATATTGTTTACGCATTTAAGACAGTGGCATTGAAATTCGCAGATAAATAGTGCGAAGATGATATTCAACCCTTGAAATCTAGACAGATATGAATTCAATGTCTGAAAAGTTGACAGATTCAGTAAGAAAAATATAGTATGTTTAATCACGGATGTGGGCCCTTGTCATTTATTAGATCCGTTTGGAACTACGCGGGGTCCGAGACCTATTTGAACGAGCAAATACTGGGTTTGTGGATCAAATCAGTGTTACCCAAAACAATTATCTTTTTTGGAAGAAAAGGTCAATCGATTCATTCAGTTTCAACTTATGTTCACCAAGAACATCCTATCACATTTTTACCTGTTCACTGAGCTATTTGTTTAATCGCGAACGTTTCATCACTAACCAAGGTAACAAGTTCCAGCTGCACCAAAGATGTGAAACGGGTTCCTAGTGAAAATTCTGCGAAAGAATTTGCCAACTTCTGTGACCAAGACAAAAGCAAACACCCATTAATCTCCCAAGGGGATCGGAAATTGCATTTAGTGTTAAATGCTCATAACACCAACAGATTGACAAAAATACTCTTTTAAATGTAGAACGTACTCTTGTGGAAGTGGTACGACCATCACTGAGTTCCCCATTACTCCGAACTTAATGTCTTGAAACAGAGAATAAGATTATCCTTGTTTGGAAATTTCCTTGATTAAAATATTTGCGTGTCACGGGAAAAATTTCGAAGCACTACAAACAGGCTGAGTCGCATTTCTAGGTTTTGCTTATCTGCCCATCGAAAGAGAGGCACCAATATCAGTGTAAATTTGTCTGACTGTAGGGTCTAATTTTAGGAAAACGCGTTAAAAACCAACAATGATGCAAATAGTGGGCGCGTCCCTCGGGTCGTTTTAAAAGGGTCAAAGAGCTGCATGGTTCAAGTGGAACCATATTATTCTACTGTGCATTTCTGACATAAGCATTGGAGTGAATCTGCTTTACGTTGCCTAGCATGGGACTGCAAACTCTTCCAGGAGCCAATTCTGTGCATCGCTTGAAGCACGATGACACCTTCACACACTCATTTTACCTTTCAGCCACTTATAACTAGTAATGTGGGTAAGTGTCGTAGATTTTGACTTCAAACGGCCTTACACGCAACTTATTTCATTTACATCTCTTGTGGGAACCATATGAATCGTATTATGTACAAATCAATTGGGATATGCCGGAGTCATTAGGACAAACAGCTAATATCAAGCTGTCGAGAATCATCAATTTTTCACATATTTACCATATTTGTTATGTAGCTTGGGAAACAGGCAAATACTGACCACCGTGGTGTATCCATCAATGTCTTTTCTCTGTTAAAAAAGACTGAAATAACATCAATCTTTATCTTTTAAATTAGTTTAGGTTTGCAAACTTAGATGAATGTTTACTACTAGTGATTTGTCAACGTGACCAATTTTATTGAGCTAACGGTCATATAAGTACTAATAAAAACTTATACATAGGCGTTCTTAACATGGCTGTTCATTTAACCTGATGCCCCGGGCTGATGCGAAACTATGAAAAACATTAAAAAATCAGTCACAAATCTCCAATTCTCGTGCCAACTTTTCTCTAAAGAACTAGCATTTTGGCACCCAGAATTT